GGGGGGGGGGGGGGGGAGGGCAGTGCGTGTGAAAACTGTCTTTACATAACAGGTGTACATAAGGATTGCATGCTTGATTTGCCGATTAGATCTCTTAGTTTGTCTCTTTAATCTACATATTGTCTGAGACTACACAAGAAGCCTGTTTCAAAACAACAGAGTATCATACAAAATGAATTATTTCATAGCAGTTGTTATATGCATATGTGGTAAGTAAAATGTCCATTTTACTGTTTTCATACTGTGATTAATATAATTGATTGAATTCTTTTTGTAAAATTTAAAACAATAATAGGTTCAACATTAGTTATGTCTTATTTAGCATATATATATTTGACTTAACAACTTAATTTACCCCAAAAATCTACATTACATTGTATATAAACTATATGTCTTGTTTTGGAAGAATCTGTAATTTATTATTTTCTAATATGGATGAAAATAAAAAGATGTTCTGTTTTAATCATAAATTCAAAACATATTTAATATTGAGTAGATCACTGTTGATAAAAGATGTTTTTTTTTTCACACTGAAACATTGCAGTGACACACATAACAGCTCAGGATGTCAGCAAGTGTGACCAGGTGTGCACTGACAGTTATAAACCAGTCTGTGCCTCTGATGGACAAACATATGGTGGGTAGATTTCCAGGAAAATTACAAAAGATTCATGTCAAACATAAATAAATATGAAGTCTGGCTGATTGGCTATGGGACATATACTTTAAAGGTGTTTTTTTCTTTATATTTGAATAATCATGGTAAGGTCACAAACAATTTATGTTTGGTTGAAAAATGAATTAGAACATGATTGTCAGAATTTTTTGTTCTAACTTTTATATCTGTTCCTTTCTTTCTTTTATTATTGCCATTCAAATGGTCATTTTAAGCAAAGCCCCTACACATGATATTACCCCTGTATCTCCTATTCCAGATAATGACTGCGAGTTGCAGATATCAACATGCATGTTCAAGATATTAGAAAACAAGGATGTGGTAAAGGTGTCAAATGGACCTTGCAAAGGGGCAAGTCCAGAACCACCCAAGTCTACTGTCCCAGCTACCAAGATACCAGCTTCCACCAAAACCCCATCCTGGGGGACCACCCCAAAGGTGCAGTGGACCAGTCCAAAACCCACTGGCAATGAGCTTCTGGCCAAGTGTTTGAGTATTGATTGCATGAGTATCTATAGCCCTATCTGTGGCACAGATGGAAAGACTTACAGTAAGTTGATTGTTTTATACTTTATCATTAATTTGCACATGCATGTTTACTATGATAATGATTGCTTATGTTGTATGTATATATAAATATACTAAAAGTAGAAAAAGTCTGCAAAATCCATGCAAGTGCATTCTACTAGGGGTTACAGGTATATACGGTGGTGCTTATATTCCTGGTTTCTCTCTTATGGGCCATTTATGTTTTCAACCTGATGTATTCCTCTTGTTTTAAATTTGCTTTCAGGCAGTCACTGTCACTTGGCTGTGCAGCTGTGTATCGGTGTTGCCATGGGGAGATTTGAGAAGGTGTCTGTTGCACACCGAGGGATATGCGGCACACAGTCCACCACCCCAACCCCAATTGACTGCAATAACTTGACCACCTGTTCTTCATATTATGCACCTCTGTGTGGCAGCAATGGAATCACTTATCGTAAGTGTTTTAATTTATGAGATGTATAGATACAAATTCATGAAACAGCCGGTTCAGTAAGTCCAGTAAAGTGGAATTTTTTAAACATAAGCTTTGCAGATACTCACAGACAGAAAAGAGAAGATACATCTAAGATGCTAGTAAAAATATAATTTCCATGCAAATACATTTGCCTGCACATTGTTTTTCTTCATCATGTCTTCATTGCTTTTCTTCTTAATTATAACTATAATTTATATTATTATCATTATTTGGCCTTGGCTTGAAATGAGAAAAAGTTACTGGTGAACACATCGAAATGAAAAATCCATCAGCATTAAACATATATTTTCCTTGTTTTATATTTATTTGCAACTTTTATTTTAAGTGAAAAGATATATTGAGGATTTTACATAGCCTCTATTTTTTTCTTTTATTTTTCTCAGGTAATGTTTGCCTTTACCAACAGGCATATTGTCAAGCTAAGAATGCAGGGACTTCATTGTCTTTGGCTGGAGTAGGAGAGTGTTAATATGAACCTTCAACCATGTATACCTGACCTCAGATGAAAGAACATAAGAAGACACAAAAAAACTTGTGTATTATATTGAAAAAATATCCAAGTGAGAATAAACATCTTGAATCCATATATTTACAGCTTTTAAAAAGAGTGCTGCAGAACTGTAATTAAAATCCACCTGGTTTTAAATAGTTTATAACAATTAAATGCTCCCTCTCAAAGTTGATTGTTTTTTTTTTTTTTTTTTGTTTTTTTTTTTTTTTTTGGTGAAAAACTGGATTTGATATTACTTAAATTTACAAAACATGTACCAGTTTTTCATTAATGAAGAATTCAGACTAAATAATAATAATAATAAAGAAAATAAATGACAGACATCTTATTTCATCCTACTTCCATTTGGGTATCATACAATAACTGATAAACCTACCAGCAGATAGCAGTTTAGCCAAGATCTTACCCACCGCATGTCTTTCCAGTTAATTATTGCCCACTTTTATCTCTAGTTTGTGCCTGATCTAAGCAATAAGGAATCCACTCATAGCATTAGCTGGATTTGGTTTTCTTGTATGATGAACATTCAAAGTGGATGGTTCAGTGGTTTTTGTGCTGGCTTATCATCTTCTTGAAAAATATAACCTTTATTATAGTATATTACAAAGTTTCTATTCATTTTAAGAGATAAAACTTTGTACAATACAATTAAGTTTTGCAGTGAAAAGTTCACCGAGACAGATTTGGTGGACTCCAGTCCAATGCCCTTGTTGTTAATTAATAACTGAGTGGCATATACAGATATGACAGATAGTTGGATGACCGTACCAGGGGATATGCCCTGGGAAGAGGGGAGAAAAGGTACACATTTTATCTGTGTTTTTATTTTTGTTGTTTATTGGTTAGGACAGCAATGAAAATCTATTGAAGGAGTTACACTTAGCAACACATGCATGATGCAGTGTACTTTACATGTGTTTAAAATGCTGTTGAATAAAAAGACACTGAAATTAGAGCCCCCTCTGACCCCTCTTTAGACAATAAATGATGGTTTAGTGTTCCACTAACTAGGTGATAATCAAAACAAATACTCAACACAAACAAACAAAACAATGAGTTAATATGTACAAGGTCATTGGACAAATCACATCAGACACCAATTGCAAACCAAGCAAGATGCGTGTACAAATTTTTGCTGCAGTTTTGCTCATTGCGGGTAAGTTGCTTGTTTTTATTTGTTTGTTTTAGATATAACTGTGAACTTTCGTGTACCCCTTGATGAGGGTTGTAGATTTGAAAAACAAACTTTTTACAAGAATTTTCTTGCATGATCAAGGGGTTTTAAAAATGTAAAAAGAGGGTGATCAAAGTTAAAGGATGAGACCATGTTTCCATTTTCTTCACTGCACTTTCTTTTTTTTAATTATACAGTTGTATTTAAGACTTAAACTTAGAAAATTACTTTAATGTTTGTTATCCTTTAAAACTTCTGTATTAAAAAAATAGACATTTTTACAATTAATTAAACACTGACAGACTAAATAATGTTCCTGAATATGAAGAGTGAGTTACTGATCCTTATAATAAAGTGACTGTAATATTTTTTATGTAACCTGTGACCAGCTCTTGGTGTCAGGATACAACAGTCCTTTGTGACATCACAGTTATCTTTAAAATAAATACTAGGTTAATTATTATTATTATATTGATGTGTATATCAACTTCATTGTGCTCTATCTTGCTGGATATTTTGATATGCAAAGCAGTTTTCTGTAGTATTTCTTGTATCAAATATCCCGAGAAAAATAGGCAGTACCTATATGTAGCATATATATATTTTTAGAGAAATCTTATGAAATATTGATAAAACAGTTCAAAGATTACATTATATTTTTCCAGGCATCAGTGCCCAGTGCCCTAAAGAATGCCCAGAGATGTACAAGCCAGTATGTGCATCCAATGGCAAAACCTATGGTATGGTCACAAACATGAAGTTTAAGTCATGCTTTAATGATTTCCTCTAGCTGAGATGATTTTGCCTTTATATCTTGATATTTCCTTAGCCCTTTTACAATTTGCCTGAGTTTGAGAGCAAATGCAGTCCAGCTTCTTCATTATCAAATGTTCATACATGTCCGCTTGTTGCCTTTGAAATTTGATTTATGTCCATTGCGCCAATCACATGTCTATTTTACAGAGGCATATGAGATTCTGATTGGTACATTTGTGATTGGCAGGAGATTCTTACCAATTAAAATGTCTTAGACTAAAATATTGCATGTCCTTTGAAATTCAAGATAATACACCCAGTATATTTATATTTACTTTCTTTTGCCAAGGTAATGACTGTGAGCTCAAAATGGTTATCTGTAATACTGAAGATGCTTTGGTCAAAGTCAGTGATGGAGAATGTGCACCAGCCACTCGTCATCCAACTCAACCAACCCGACCACCAACTGTTCCCACAGAAGTGACAGACCCAGAGGGATCTGGAGAAACGGAGCCACCAGAACCTACTGGGACAAAGTTGCCTACCAATGTATGGAATGATGCTGACAGGGCAATTTTGTTGATGACAACATTTTATTTAATACACCAATAAACTGTAAAATATTTTAAATAATAGTTTCTTATATTTGAATTAGGTAAAGGGAGAACAATTTATTTATCTTTTTACGCATTCAAATGGCAATATTTATAATTTTGCCATGTTAAAAACATTAAAAAGTTATTTTGAAAAAATTAAAATTGTGCAATCATACTCATGCAAACAGGGATATATTATATGGATAGATTTCAATGAATTTATCTTAAAGTAAAATCCAATATTTAAGTTAAATTTGGTCATTTCGAAAAAATATGGGAAATTCAGTTTAAGTATTCAGTAAAATAATTATATACCATCTTCATGCTTATGCTAATTGTTAAAATTACTTGAAATTATATGAAATTTGTTGTACAGTTGATTTAGATATTGTATTGTATTTTTTTCTTCCTCAGATGCCAAAGAGCACAGCGACTTTCCGCCCACTGAACTACACCAAACACCCAATCAGTAATTACACCAAATACCCTATCAAAAACTACACTGGATACCCTGTATTCACCACCAGATCTCCATGTAGCCGATACTACTGCCCTTCATTCTACTCTCCTGTGTGTGGTGCTGATGGCGTCACTTACAGTATGTAAACATAATTGGAACTTGGAAAATTATTTACTTTTTGCACAGTTTTGCCTTTTTTTACATTTCATTATTTTTTTATTTTTTTCCTCCATTTCAACTCATTTTTTTCTGTGCCTCCTTTGCTCTCTCTCTCTTTCATTTCCTCTCTCTCTCACATGATAGAACTGAAATTGAAAAAATATATGAAATAATTATTTTACTCATTTATATCCTAGGAAACCTCAACTGCTACAGCAAAGCTGTCTGTGAGTACAGACAGAAGGGTCTGAGCCTCCGTTACTTGTATCGCGGACCATGCAAAAATGGAACTCTCTTCAAACCCTTGCCAAAATATTGTGCTTATAAATCCTGCCCTTACAAGCCTGTCTGTGGATCAGATGGAAAGACATATTCAAGTAGGATAAATAGGGTTTTTGTAATTTCTCTTGTATAAATGAAGTTTGTTCCATTACAGTGTTTTTTCCTCCTTAGGTCAATGGTCAGTATATTGATTTTCAAAATAGACAATTTATGTACCTTTCAGTGGACTTTGTTTTTAAAAAGAATGCATCTTAACCCCAGAATTTATATTAATCCAATCTTTGCATGTAAAGTATCTGGTACAGTTTGACAGAAAGGAAAAAAAATAAAATGTTAATTATCAGGTATCTGGTTATAATTTCTTTATTTTCATTTTATTTTGCTTAATACTCTTACTCATCTTTGTTAGGTTCCTGTTACATGGACTACTCTAACTGTCGTAACAACAGAGACGTCACAGTTGTCAGGCAGGGAAGTTGTCCACCACAGTCTACTCTGAAACCAACCACAAGCCGTTGTGTGTACAATGGGACACTTTGCCCTGCTGGTGGGCCACGCAATCCAGTCTGTGGAACTGATGGGAGAAACTACTTCAGTAAGTTGTTTGCAGGATGAAACATAATTTGAAGGTTCTATATTATTTTCACCTTATGATCTTTTTTATGACAAAGGTGATCAAGGATGAGTGATTGAAAAAAATATTTCTATATCTTAATATGATGACTCTATTCCTTCAGATTTTTTGTTTGTAAATCTTTAACTATATTTCCGTCCTATTTCAGCTGTTTGTTATCTGGAGTACATGAATTGTATTTACAACAGAACTGTATCAGTTGCCTCCAAGGGATACTGTCCATACAAAACCACCACCCCAAAACCATGCAATCAGAACTGTGGATGGACCTACAAACCTGTGTGTGGAAGTGATGGAAGGTCATACCGTAAGTTCATTGCCAATTGCAATCACAATCTTCTTTCTAAGCTAGGGATCATATTGACAAGTCAAACTGCAGACCAAGTATGGTAAAATAATTTGCTCTTCCCCTCAATGGGCTGCATCCATGAGCATCCTAATTTGTTAATTACAACTCCCCTTTTTACCAAAATCTTAAAAATGATATTGCAAATGATAAAATCATTGTATTCTGAAATGCTTTTTTTGTGGTCTTGGTAAAAGTGAGTTCTCTGCAGATGCATCCAGCTAGCGCCCCCCTTGAACTGAATTATCATGTCAAAACAGGAATTCTACCTTGAGCTCTTTATAAATCCAAGTAGAGTCATGAAACAGACTTTATTTTACAGTTGTCAGCCTTACACAGTTAACGAGCCCACATAGCACTTTTCTTTAAATCCTTTGATTTCTTTTAGGTAAATATATATTTTGTGCTGTGTAGTTTTGTAATTAATGACATATTTTACAACCAATATAAGCAATTTGAGAACCAAAAGTTTAATATGTAATTTTTTTTTTTTTACTATACATTGAAAAAGTTTGTTTCTGCATTCCAGGTAGTCTGTGCCACCTCCAGAACCAGGCCTGCAAGCTGCAATATATCGGAGGGAAGCTGACTGTCAAGTATTATGGCAACTGTAAACAGCCAACTACAGTGAAGCCCTATACGACTGGAAACCCTTTGTCTGCTTGTTCCAAGCTGGGACCATGCCCAACCTACTACCGCCCTGTGTGTGCCTCCAACAACATCACATACAGTGAGTTAACAAAGTGACAATGAATTATTATTTGCATCACTTTTTTAAAACTAATTTGAGCATCATTTTAAATATGCATGACATTTTCTGATAATTATGTTCATTTTAACTGCACAACTAAAAGAAGTTTATAACATGCAGAAGGGTTTGAACTTGAAAGATTTGAAGAGGTTTCTAATTGAAACTATAATACCTGTACTAATATATCAACTGTAGTGACATTGTTAATTTATCTTACATGTATATTAATGTTAACTTTCAGGAAACACCTGCTACTATTCCCAGGCTGAGTGTAGGATGTTGGCCTATGGGCAGGACATAAAGCTGAAGAGCCTTGGGGAGTGTAAAAATGTGGCCTAAATCTAACTCGAAGAAACTACACTTGAGAACAGACATGGCACATGAAGGTGTGCCAGTTGAAAACAGATTGTGACACTTGGAGATATTTCCTCAAAAACAGAATTAAAGGACTAAAAGAGACTTTCAAAGTTGTACATGCATGTTCACAGGTCAATGATAAATAATCCAAATGAAATTAACAATTTATTTTTTTCCTTTCTTTTTTCACGTTGATAAAAATTGTTAGAATAGATTAAAAATATTTAAAGAAATGTGACGATATCTTATTTTCTAAAGTAACTATGTAATACCTTTTAATTTTGCAGTTTGAATTGATTTTGTTATAAAATTTCCTGGTCACAATGGCTAAGTTTGCTATTTTCTTTTATCAGTTCCTAGTAGTAAGCATATCATTCTTTTCAGTTCCAAACATTTTTATTGCAAATTTCAAAAGGTGAAAAATAAATTGATTCTAGAAAGCATTTTGTTGCTCTTTTATTCATTCTAATGGTCTGAATGATATTTTTAACTTTTATCCTGCTAACAAAGTATATTTCTATATAATCACAGCATTGTCACACTAAAGATTTTAAATGATTTAATAAATCAATTAAAATATAAATGACCTTGATAGCCTGTCCCCTTTCCTAAAGCAATGTTGATATGAATATTGGAAGTCATGAACTTATACACATCTGCAAGGGTTCTCAGGCTTGTAACTTTGATATCTATGAGGCTCATGATGCCCTCCAGGAGCAAGTTAAGGAAACATTTTAACTTGGGAGCTTACATTTTTGTCTATTCATGTTTTGTCTGAACATGTTTAAAACACTCCATTCCTCATGACAATAATGATTTGCAAAGTGACAATGAATATATTATAAGACATGACAAGTTTTCATACATTCAATGATGGATGAAAAATACTACCAGGCTTCCCTACCTTTCCTTTTTGAGCCCCTGTTCCAGCCTCCTTACATGTTTGGCTCTGTAATTAACTGTTGTCACTGTAATTGTCACTGTCAAACTGCTTTCATTAGCAACACCAGCAACTCATCATGCACTGGATCACTCTGGCTCTATTGTTTCTCTCAGGTGAGTTCTATAGTTTTATGATTACTTTTCAGCAATATGCCCCAAATGTATGCACTTGTGCTGTTATTGTCATATTCAGCTTTTTCGACTTCCCATGTCAGGTTCTCTATTTCAGTTATTGTTGGTAATGATTAGTTTACAACATAGCAAGTATGCTGTAATATGAACAATTTTGCTTGCTCATATTTATTTTTTTTTTCTTTACAGCCACCTTGGCCCTGTGTAATGAAGAGTATGTAAGTAACAAGACAGTATAGTTATGACTGATGATTTTATAAATGATCCGTCTTATACCTATCAATACACTATTGATTAAGATAGTACACTTTACTAATTTTCTTTAATTTATAATAATTTGCCAAAACATATTGCAGGAAGAAAACAGCTATAAACTCTTATTTTTCTTTGTAACAGCCACGGTTTGGCTGTGCTAAATATGATGAGATTATTCGTGGCTGTGAGAAGATATATCGCCCTGTGTGTGGTACCAATGGAAAGACATATGGAAATGAATGTATGTTGTGCCTGGAGATGAAACAACGCCAAGCAATGGGTGAGCACAACTAACACAATAATTGTTATATTTCACCTTTAGTTTGCTTTCACCGATTCTGCAAATGTTGCTTTTCAAATCTCCATCAAATCAAGGTTTACTTATAAGTACAATATCAAATGTATATGTATAATAAATATTACTATGAGCTTTTACTTTTTAAAAATATAATGGCAATCAGACTTTTTTTAAAATAGATATTTCACCTTCAGGTGAGAATATTATCATTGGAGTGGCAGCAGATAGAAGATGTGAGGAGTGAGCGTCAGACCCTCATCTTTCTTGACATAGTGTATGATAAGCTTATATATCTGTTTGATTTTTGGAATAAATGAAGCATAACCTAACATTTAATTAACACTGTTGTTTCTTGATGTGTTGAGAGGTGCTGCGCTATTCACAGTGTTTTTAGTTCAACAAGCATAATGGTGCTCCAGTCAGAATATTATTCTATTATTCAGAATAAGTGTTGGAATACATTTTTTTTAATGGAGTAAGAGCATTTGTTAATTAATAAAAAATTGATAATACCATCTGTCTGATGAGCCAACACACACACACAAACATGCACACGCACACACACACATATACTTCTTTTAACTGTAACTGTCCAAAACTCGAAAAGCAGAAGGGGAGGGTACTGGTCCACTGCTTTAGACCCCATTTACAGAGATTAGATCGATATACTTTAGATCGACCTAACTCTCTGGGGGTTCACGCTAAATAGCTGTCAGCCGGGCGGACACGAAAGTTAATTACCCCCTTACAGCTTGTAGTAGGCGGGACGGACATTTAAGCCGGATTATCTGACAGTAATCTAGTGAGACTCCCCGCGGGGATAGATCGATCTAAAAGCTCTGGGAATACAGCCTTAGATTCAAGTAATTATGTACTTAAATAAGGCATTAACATATTATATTAAGCTTGAAGTTGATCATCTTTGACTGCTTTTACTCTTGCCCTAGGGTATTGTTACCGGTACTTCATGCCAACAAGATTCAAGGACATTGTGCCAATCATAAAATTTGGGAGCAAAGGGCCGTACAACTGCTTAATCTTTTCTTTTCAATTAAAAAAGTCTAGGGAATGAAATAAAGACATTTCAAAGGTAGGTGTATTAGTACATTAAAAAAAACCCACATAACTGAAAATGATTTGTGATATCACTGGAAACTCATTTTGTCAGCAAAGTAAAATCAGACTATGTGGTTTTGAAAGCCATCAAATTAAAAAAGAGGAAATAAGAGAGAAATGTATGATTTTTCTTTCTTTCTTTTTAAATTTTTTATACTGGTATTTTACTTATTTTTGTTCTCACATTCACCTGTGTCACAGGCCATTATTCACTCAGTCCATTCACCTGGCATATTTCACATAAACCCAATTTTAATCAAGGCACCATACTTTCTATTTATATATATTTTTACACATTTGCTTTATTCATAATTAAATGTCAACGATATTGACTTTAATACAATTTTAAACAAAGGGCCAACAGGAAAACCCATAACCTTTTAGCAATAACAATTGCTTTACACTTAATTTTTCATACATTGATTGATTTCCATATATATATGTTCACTTTTTAAAAGTGAAGGTGCAACTAGACTAACAACATAAAGTGACAAATACATAAACCTGTATAAATGTTAACAAAAATACAAATGCTAAAGCTGACATGGTTTAACTCAAAATATTTTTACAGCTAAATCATAATAATACAATTGACTTAATTTAGGATTGCCTGAAAGTGGCAATGGTCAGAGTATTCATTTGGTAAAAAAGCAATTGAGCAAGTTGATTAATTAAATCAATAATGATTATCACACCTGATATATACAAGAATGATAGTACAGTGAAAAGACTTTGAAATTCTTTATATGATTTATGGGAACATACAAAAATGACACCCATCAAAGTACAGAAAAATACTGATATTGGTTATATGAACATAAAAATCAATCTTTAGCAACTAAATATAGACTAATTCTCATTATTTAAACTCACCAAATAAAAAAAGCATACTATTTTAATGAAAATATTGACTGTTCCAGTTTCTAAAGAGAGACACAGAAAAAAATATACATTTTCAACTAAACTGGGCAGTAGATATTATTATTTACAGCAATCACAGCAGTCTGAAAGGCTTTAATAAACCTGATCATTTGAAATATTTCCTCAAAGTTCTAACTGGAGTCTTTGGGGTTCTTGGGACACTGATAGTTTTTGGATTGAATAGTTGCATAAATGCTTCAGAATTGCTAGTTGCCATATTATGATCTTGATGATGTAATTCACGGCTGATACTCCGCCATGTCGATCCAAGAATTGGACCTTCACGGCTATGGTCGTATGCACGTTTTTCATACCAACTTGTCTTTTCACTGCGAGAGTCTGGCAGTTTCCTTAAATTCAAAATCAAGCTTGATGGAGATTTATTTCTTTAGAAATCACACTATGAAAAGAGCACCTAAAAATGGTTGTAGATTGTGCCTGAAGCTCAGCCAATATACACATGACAAATTGTAATTCCAAGTAAGAAAGTTTGCAAAAAGTGTCTGAAATTCAAGTTAATAAATATAATTTTTCTTATAAGATACATTTTATAAGTTCACAGCTGAATGATATTGAAGTTTCTTCTATTGACACAGCACTACACTATCAAGCAAGGCAAAGGAACTGCTGTCGGTGGAAGTTTAGTTGAAAGTTTTAGTAATATATATATATATATATATATATATATATATATATATATTGGATGAACAAACAGTTATTTGTAGCTTATCACACAATGAAAATATGCATACCATTAAATTCAATACAGGCAATTGAGGTAATCCAACTGTGAACCAGCCTATCGTATCTAACCTTGCCCAGTCAAGTTTTGAGCAATATTATTACTTTTGAGAACTTGTTCTGATATTATGCTGATCTATATGTATATCATTGGCCCTCATTTTTAATACTTATAAATTTATCTGATGAATACTTTAACATATGATAAAAAATGAGCAATTTTGACATAATATCATCAATAAATAGTAATAAATATGGAAGTATTTTCCCTATTTTTTCATCACATTGAGTGAAAAAGTACACTTTATAGATTTCTTCACTTCATGTCCATGAAAGTGTATTTGAATGTTTTCCAAATTTAAAAAAAAAAAAAAAAACGATGACTTTTTCCAGGGAATAAGACAAAAGGGTCTTATTCAAAGTTTGTCCATTTCATACTTTGAAATGGGGTCTTCTTGGAGGAAGTTCAGAAGTATCTTTTCGAAAATTTTGTTCCTCTGGGTGCATAAGTAAGTAAACTCTGTCTGGAGGGTTATTATCAACATGGCGGTGTTTGATGACACTCAATTCTCCTGATGGAACATAGCACAAATCGCCTGCTGTTATCCTTGTTCCCCTACAATCAGAGTACAAAACCAACAGTGATCACCAAATCAATGCCACACAAAACTTTTTTTAACTTTAAATTTGTTCAGGTCAGTAAAAATAAGTCATGGGATTTTGTCATTTATGAACACAATATATATTTTAGTATTCATCTGACGGTAAACTGAAGATTGATATGCATTTGATGCATTTTGAACTTAAACTACATTTAATGGTTTGAAATATAAATAAATCTGCAGCTAACTGGAACAGCCAATAGTAACACACAACCCACACAATAACTGATGTCATGTAGTAGAGATTTTATAATGCAATGCATCTCCCAAACCAACTTTAATTTAAAACTTAAAAACATTGCCATGCAAAAATATTTCATAACAAGAATCACATCACATTCAATTACTTCAGCTTCAGATGCAAACATAAATGAAAAAAAAAAAAGAATTGAAACAAAAAAATTCAACTGTCTCATTTTCATACGAAAAATATTGCCTCACAACTTCAATTGAGCTTGATACTAAAACATTTTTGTTTTTACTGTTTTTGTAAGTTGAGCACTTTTGCCATTGCTTTATAAATGGTAAGGGAAAAAATTCAAAGAAAAACTTGAGCAAATTATCAAAATATTATAAAAATGAAAATTCAATTCAATGTCTTAAGTAACCCTTGCATTTCATAAAGCTTCACGTGCACTGAACAAAATTTAACTCACTCCTAATCATGAGTGAGTTATACGATTATTATGCTTCATATTATGCATTATTTGATTTTGATTAATTAAGAATCTTTAAACTGACTGTTAAAGGTTGTTTTATTGAAGCCATGCATTTAAGTTTCAGTAACAGGAGATTTAACTTTTTCTGTTTGGCTTGGAGTTTTATTTCCTTTTTCTGTTGCACTTTGTTGAGTTTCTTGAGCTTCTGATTTGGGCGATGCAGGTACAGGATGGTTTATCCCATCAACTTGTACATGAGCATGATACTTTGACATTTGCACATTCATCCTTCTATCTGTTCTGGTTTCTTCGCATGTATAAGAGCTGTTGTCAGTTTCAGGGTACATGACTTTATAGATTACATCAACATGAGGATATTCAACATCCTTAGCTCGATAACGATTTTTGAAACCATCTTGTGTCAGTCTAAAACGATCCAAATCCTGGCTGTAATTAGAAGGTAACTATTTAACTCGTTACTCTTTTAATCAGGACCTGTTTGTTTAAATTGATCAAAGAAAGATTTTGTCAATTTATTTATAGGTAAATATGGAACACAGTGAATGACCTCAAATGCTCTACCTGAGTACCATTCGTCAAGTATGATGGAGTATAACAGTTAGACATGAGAGCAACTAGAAGCAAATGTCAATGATTTAACTTGGAATAGTTAGTAAATCAACAGCAACCTTGTCATAGAATAATATATCTCATAAGAGAAGAAGGAAAAAATATTTCTCTGTTAATATTTTATGGCAAAAATACATAAATAATATCTAAACACCAATCGAAAATGTAATTGAATACAGGATAATCTTTAACATGATGATTAACAATTTATCTTTTATGCATTGATCTTTTTTTTAATAAAAAAAAGATTATTAAAATATTTGGCTTCAGGAGCTAATCAAATAATTTTTCTTGGGGAGAAAAAAATGGCAATAAAGTCAACAATAACAAAGGAACAGATTTTTTAAAAAGTAAAGAAAACTGTTAAAATACCTGTAATCATTGTACCTTGCAGCTACTTGCTCTCTTTTACCACTTTTGGTTCCAACAGAGTTTGTGAATTCTTCACCAAACTGAAATAAAAGTTTTTAAAATGATATCCAACTTCTGTAGATACTGTCAGTTATATTACTGCAGTAAGGACAGTTAAAAAATATCTCACTATTACTTGGATTATTTTAAACATAAAACTAATCATGCACTGGTCAGTGTTGTAAACAATGTGCTGTAAATAATTAAACTATTATTTTATGTTGTAAGCATGCAGAATACCTTCTTTGCGATTTTAGCTTTAATTCAGTTTACGCATAGTTTACAGAAGTCATTTTAAGAAACTGTATCATCAGGGGCAATTGTAAGTGCATATACTTCTACTGTAAATAGTAAGAGAGTAACAAAATAACATTTCATTTTAATGCCTTGTAATTAGATGGGCTTGCTTTTAAGTTTAATTTATAACTAGTGGTGCCAGGAATAATGCCTAGAATTAGCACACATTGAAACTGTCACTATTGTCGGTGTAAGTAACGTTTTCCGTCAGGGATTTAAGCATATGGCTAGCGTTGAATTTGTTTTCAATAAAAATTGACATGAAATACATTATTTCATGTTTAAAAAGTGTTCATTACCTGAATATCAGTGGCTCTCGCTGCTTCCCTTTTCCTTTCTATTACTCGAGCTTTCCTCAAAACTTCTTGATGATATGCAAAGTCACCCATAGCTTTCGTTATTGGCTGACAGTCATAGAAGATTTGTGTTACTTGCTTATGTGGAGAGAGACGGTAAATAATTTGTAATGCAGCGAGTCTTCTCCGCTCTGCCTGGGTATCACCACGGCGTGGTGTAACCAATGGTGATATACACATGCGCACGCGCAAATTACACTGACCTTCACGGACCTCAAAGTTTCCAAGAGGAGAATGCTCCGTAGTATGAAACGACATCATCGGCTTTACATCATCAGTTTGCATCGTCTACATGTGAATAAACTTGCATAAATTTGACATGTCCATTCTCTTTCAAATGGAATCCTTTATCCATCCCTCTCTACACGTGGATTCGACCTTTGATAAAATTTATTAAGGTTTATTGTAGCTTAACATGTAAAATGATTGGCCTTGGACAGTCAGTAACAGAAACCATTTTCCAGTAAGCTCCGATTGAAATATCAAAATAAGGTTACTAGTACGATCCATAAAAATGTTTAAGGCCATAAGGGGTTTAATTATTTTAAGGTGTGTGGAAAGTTTTTTAACAAGCTGTGGATGACAAAAATAAGCATTTTCGGGATTTTCAAACCTATCGGTATGAAGTGTAGGCCTACATTTTAATCACAATAAAAAATATACCGGTATATCGACTCGTCAAAAGTGAAAATATTTCTACTCTTTTCCAATGTCCATGCATAGTTTTCCCCATAAACGGTTAAAATAAATGCGAGAACAGGCAACATCAACAGGGTTCCAAACGCGTGCCAAATATCAATTAATCTACTTGGTACACTTGTGCCAAATATCAATTAATCTACTTGGTAGACCGACACACGCCTGTAAATTACAGATACTATCTGACCGACTGCAGTGTGGTCTACATTAGAATTTGTCATGAAACAAATTTACTTTAGTGACCTTAACAACTAACTGACAGTAAAAAATATTTGAAACCCCGTCAAATAATCACTAGCAGTGGCTGATTTAGGGGTGTGTCAGGGGACCCTCTCTTCAGATAATCCTGGATCCGCCCCTGGCTAGTAGTAGTGAAGTGTTCTATATTTGGTTACAAAATAACAAACTTTTTAGGGAAAAAAAAGGCAGACTAATTTTGAAGAATGGAGCCATTCCGTTAACCATTGGCAAATTTAGGAAAATTGTCGTTTACCAGGAAAGCCTTTTTTTTACAAAAACGAACAGTTATTATCCCATTAATACCAGAGCACCCATTCTCGAAAAAGGCCCATTTGAAAAAAAAAAAAAAAAAAAAAAAAAAAAAACAGAAGGTGAAAAACGAAGTTATAGATAAAGTCGCGCGAATTCTAATTTTTCTAAATCTCTTGTGACAAAAAGTGATAAATCTAGGTCTTTTTAAGAAATCAGTGACATTTTTAAAATTCATGCCTTGCTAATACGGGGACGAAGTACCAAAGGGTTCGCCTATTTTGGTAATGAAAGTTTTAAAAACAACAACCCTTTTGGATAATATTCGCCAGTTATTCATATTAACAAAAAATTTACTGCACTCAAGGGGAATTACGAAAAGTAGACATTTTGTCACACATTTTGTCCTCAACCTCAAGCATATTTTTCACAATACTTTGTAACGAAGCTTTTGCAAATTTCTTACTGTTATAATGCAATTTTTCCGTGTTTCGTCTAAAACATTTGACTGTGTCCTGTAACCATATCAGTGGCGAAATTAGGGGGTGTCAGGGTGGCCCTTTCCCCCCCTTCCATTCCGGTAATAAAACGCACAAAGAACGTCTGGCTGAACTATATAGTTCTAAAACGTACCAAATGATACCATTTGCCCTCCAAAGCGCCCCGAGCCTGACGCCAAGGGGGTGAGGGTTGGCCTTGCAATCCGAGGCCTGTCTTTCCTTAAAAAACCGGACCTCTCCTTCAAAAAATTCTGGATCCGCCCCTGCATATTGCCTTGTTAATAATCAGGGGCGGATCCAGAGATATTTTCTGATAGGCTTCCGAATTATCTTTATTGATCCATCCTCCATTTTTGACCGTCTTCCAAGAGAAAAAATTACACACCCATCAAGGTAAACTTGAAAATCTGACCGTCTTCCGGAAGACCCAGAAGACGGCCTAAATCCGCCCCTGATAATGGATGAAACTTAATTGAGGATTTTCAATAGGTAAAATAGTACAAAAAATCACAAAACAATTAAAAAGAAGGACATGCGCCAAAAGACTTAACGAAGGTTTTTCGATTTCAAAAATCTGGTGACACCATGAACGTAGCCGCAAGTTATTTATTGAGTAATTTGAAATAAACATCTAAGACATTTCCTGAGACGTTAAATACCATACTCGCCTCCTGCCAAGTATAAGATTTTCTGATTCATTAAAAATCAACTAAATCGATTGGAGAATGTGAAATGGTGCTGCGAACGACAATAATGAAGGTTTTAAATTAAGTCCGTTTATGATTTTTTTCTATTTGAGAACAGAAAAAATCAGTAATTGTTATTTTTTTATCTGCTAGACTTATGTTCGTAAAGTTTCACTTGGACAAAAAATCTTCCGCTCGCTTTATACTTTTAATGAAATTTTTGAAAAATGCTAAATGGACCTATATATTGAGAATGAGTGAGAGGTGGGTTTCGATCCAGTGTCGTCTGGAACTCTGGGTTTGTGTATTATATGCTTTAGGCCAGCTGATGGATGAAGTTAATTCCGTGAAAATATTCTCTCTAGCGTACAGTAGAAAAATTTATAATAAATCAGCCATAGACATATTTGTGAATATCTAGTGCAAAATCAATCTGCCGTCCTGGTAGAAGTCGGGTTTGTTAATAGTGTAGATATCCAAAATGTGACTAAATATTTTGGTTGATTGCATCGTGAAAGCATCCAATGCTAAAAATAAATACGTCTTCTTCATAAATGTAATTTACCTTTTTAAGACAACACTTATGTAAAAAATAAGTAATTGACAAAAAAAAAACTGAAAAAAACTTGGTAAAAAAAAAACGAAAATATCTTTATTTTCCCAATATTAGTACTGTAGTCAAAGATTTTTGGATACCTGCCAAAATTAAAAGCATGTGCTACTGTTTACGATTTGTGTCACATGGGCTGCATGTTTTCATCCACTTCGCCAATCAGCGCGCGCTGTTATCCAGGGCACGTAAAGAGACAGTTTCAAGGCCCACCTAGGTAGGATGAATTCGCGGGAATTCGTTTCCCGGAGACAGAGGGGTTGGTTATAACAATTAATCCTTGTTTGTAAATAAATACCGTATGAATGTTAAAACTGGGTTATATATATGGCAAAATATCATTTGATCTCCCACCTAAGGCGTAATATTTCCCGTCAGCCTCGTTATGGAAATAGGTTAACTATGCAAGGAGATGTTGAAACAGATTATATTTTGAACTTCTTGATTCGTCCATCTTGTGTGAAATTTGCTAGTTTCCATGCAATATTTCATGCTAATTTGTAGGTGATCGATTCTGACAAGGCTCCAGGAAGCAAGCTAGATGGACAATACGTCCATTATAACACAAGTAACCCGCGATGAGGAGCCGCTTAATACTTTTCCTTCACCGGAAAAAGGTAGGTGTCCGTCAACCTGGTTTCAGGTTGTGTCAACATGGCGCCGTACGCATGGAACCATGTCATTTATTGAAATGAATTTTTAAGTCAAATCCTGAATAAGTTATGCCGAATAATGGCATGGCCTGGTTATCTTGGTTAACAACATGTGATCGGTATATGTGCATAGTTTAAGTCCGAGCCGTTTTGGCTTGAAGCCGACTACTAGACTGTGTTGTCATTGATAATGATGTTGTATTGATAAAGATAAACACAGTCATGTGCCTTTGGTTGGCCTTGGTTTTAAAAGGATTGACACTCGATTTGATTAATCTGGACATCTGCAATTTGACACACATCACGATGCCATGAAATTCAGTGTAATAAACGTTTTAAAAAAATATAACAGTTTTAAAAATAATATAAATTAACAAGTAATAGTACCTAGTATCAGTAGTACAGGACACGTAACACGTATCTGGGTCAGTAATTGAGAAGTTGGGGCCCTGTTAGGGGTTTCCAGATAAAGACTGAAGGTAGATAGATTATTTATTAATGTGTCTGAGAGAAAAAGCTATGCATTAAATCTGTTGTTTTCATCTTATGGCTTCGTACAAATGTTATTTGGCATAGTATTGATAATTCATTACCACTTTGCTACCTTTTCAGTATTTCTATTGCATAGAACTGTAGTATGAACTGGTGACAGAACATAAGAAGTCAGTGAAGCTTAATGATGATGCCATTTAACCCCTCTCCCCTTCTTTCTGTTATGTTAGTGACAAGTTAAAATTTCAGAACTTAAAATAGTCATATAGCTGTAAACTTGAGTTCCAGATCTGTTGGCAGGTGTTTGGTCAGGATGCCACTGCATTTTTTATTTCCAATCTTGAAAGCAGCATCATGAAACTGAACAGCCAGTTTTGAAAGCATTGTTTGCACTATTGGCAGCTTAAACTTATCAAGTGACAAATTTACCCTGATATAATTTTCATTTTTTATACCAGAGATGATGTCATGCCAGTATAACTTCATGAAGTATCATAAGTAGATAAGAACTGATAGGTCTAGACTTGTTTGTTTTATTTGGACCACATTTTAGTCTTACTGTTGATTATAAATCATGAGCATAACACTACTTATTAGACCTTGTTCGGTGTATAGATATTTATCATCCTGCCTGTCTATGTTCACCATTGATTTGGTGAAAAATAAAAAGGGGTATGGGGCTTAACCCCACTCTACTGAACTTTGGAAACTCTTAAATAGGTAGCGTTAAGTAAGTGACAGGTTTTAAGACTGAACATAAGTACACTTAAGTCTTCAGTTGTCTTTTTCACTGCCTTATGTGGTTACTAGTAAAGTTCTCTTTACTTTGATTTCAAAGTTCAGTTATAACCACTTAGCTTTCGACATATTGATTGAAATCTAAAGTGAAACTACCTCAGACTTATATACATGTTGAAAAATAAAGAAAAAAAGTGGAATCACATATGGAAGAATTATGTCATAACTGAAGATCATAGAGGAAATATTGAATGTGTTCATCTGGGCAGGGCCTTTGGATTATACAACGGTGTTACCTCAGTGTCATGTT